CCAGTATGTGGACAAAACGCCATTTCAGGCTCCGTAGCTTGCAATTCCGTTGGAATGGTGTCATTTGCAAAATCAGTTGAAGGGGGCCGAGGAATAGGGGATGGTCTTTGATTTCTAGTTTCAACCTCTTGAGAAGGACCAGGGTTGTTTGGAAACAGGTGGGCGCCTTTTTCTTCTGTTGTTCGATTCATATTTTCCCATTCGGTATCGTGTATATATTTGACTCCTTGCATTTCTGCTAGACGACAAGAGCACCGGTGAAACTGGCACTCCATCTTGAGGAAGTGCACCATATCCTCTGCTTTCAAACGCAAACGCTTTTCCCATTCGATGCCCTCCTTCAACTCCCTGAGAAGACAATCATTTTCAGTGGATAGTTCGGGATCCTCGTTTTCTTTAGAGGAAGTGCGCCGCAAAGTCTTGATTTTGAGTGGGGAACCTATCCGGGGACTTGTTATTTGGTTAATACCGCTTGTGCGGTTACTTAAATGTCCAGACTCCAGCATTTGGTCTCGTTTTAACCGGATTGACTTTGGAGAACATATACCCATGTCCCTCTCTGCCAAAGGAGTCCTGGGGTTGGACGGTTCTCTCATTTCCTCCGCCCTTGCCTCCAATATATCTGATTGATTATCGGGTTCAAAAGAGCGGTTTTTCTCCTTCAATATTTCCAGTTCTTCCGTTAGCCCAGCTAATGCGTATGCACGTTCAGAGGCTTCCTGTGTCGCCTTCTCCTTTGCCTCTCTCTCGCACCTAACTTCCTCTTTTAAAGCTTTTACCTCGCCTCTTGATGACTTAAGTTCTTCTTGAGCCTTTACTAGCGCTGATCCAGCCCGGAACGCTTCTTTCCTTGCTCTTCTGACTTCTTTTTCGAACACTGCCCGTTCATGAGCTTGTCTCTCCTTCAGAGAATGTAGTTCCTCCATTAAAGATTCAAGTCGTTCGCTGACTTTGCGTTCTCGTAAATTGGCCTCTGATAGCTCGACCATCGTGGCTTGAAGGGACGCTTCGGCCTCTTCCCGTCCTAATATGGCTCTGTGAAGAGCAGCCGATGTGGTGGAAGAAGGATGAGAGTGAGCTGGGGTGCTGGCTCTCGAGAGATTGTTGAGAAAAGCCACTTTCGCTTGCACATCTGAATTCGTCCGCATGTGTTTTTGCTGAAGGGGAGAGAGCTCCAATGCATGTAGTGGCGCTCCATTCATTTTCTGCTGATTGATGCGATCAGGAGAGACAGGACGCAAGGGCGTTCCTGACGACTGTTGAACTTTCAGGGGAATGGACTCCATAGCTGAAGGTAGGACGTCAGATCGAGGAGGATTGTTTGTGCTCTCCGAGAGCATTATGTATGACAACACTATTGAAGCGAGCAAGCGCTGGGTTCGGAATGTGGCGTGAAAATTGTGATGTTGCCTTGGGATGTTGACGGAGCACAGGTTGCACTCCGAGTCCAAGGTTGCTGGGGCAACGGAGCCACTTTACCCTTCTGGGACGAAATGGCACGTGATATCGGAATAACTCCAAAGCCAGGAACATTCGAATTCAATCAGAATTCAACCAACGTCCTTTGAAGTTTAACATTGAAATACTGTAGTGCAATGGGCAATTTTTCCCGTCATTTATTGTCATCTTTTGGACCAGAGCTCAATGATATCCTTTCACTACACTCAGACACTGACATATAGCCACCGATTCTTGCGCAATCTCTTTATTGCTTCGTTTTTGGTTGTGGCAAATCCCGAAGAATCATGGAGGCAAATTGATGCCCGCAAATAGCAGCTTATACCGTTAATTTTAAGCATAACATATAAGTAAATTGGAGGATTGTCTGCATTACTCTTCTATAATAATGCATGAGATTGTAACCCTACAGCTTGGTCAGCGAAGTAACTATCTCGCGACTCATTTTTGGAACTTCCAAGTATGGCGCTTTAATCTTCCTTAACGTGGTCCTGTACTAACCTCACCGTCAGGAATCATATTTTACATATTCCGCAGATGAGTTGTCCCCTGTGGACCATGACATCCATTTCCGTCCAGGGATTGGCGCAGACGGATCGGAGACCTTCACTCCCAGGACAGTGATCTACGATCTTAAGGGAGGATTTGGGACGCTTCAGAAATACAATGCACTTTATGAGATAGAAGCAGAGCCCAAGTTATCCAGGGGTTTATGGTAAGAAGCACTTAATGTTCACCTAATTTTGATTGACAATTAACAGTGCATTTATTATCAATAAAGGGACGGCAATGAGGTTATACAACAGCAGCCCACCATCCCACTGACTGAGTATCAAAAAAACCTAAATCTAGGGCTTCCATTACCTCAGCTTAAAGCTGAATCAGTTCGCTACTGGTCAGACTTTAATAAAGTCTTCTATCATCCCAGGTCTATTGTTCAATTAAATGAATACGAGCTCAATTCTCAACTAATGCCATTTGAAGACTGGGGCATTGGCGAGGACTTATTTAGAACCTTAGATCGCGAGCACGACATCCTTGACAGGGATTTTCGGGCCTTCGCTGAAGAATGTGATCAACTGCAGGGAATCCAAATTTTCTCTTCAACGGATGATGCCTGGGGAGGCTTTGCTGCGAGATATGTCGACAGATTGAGAGATGAGTTCGGAAAAAAGAGTATCTGGTTCTGGGGGTTAGAAGATGGAGCAAGATTCCAACGTGTATGTGTCAATAAATCCGAGTCACTTCTTCTGCTCCGCAAATTTCAACTAGATACTCTATGGGATCATAAGCTAAAAATATAAGACGCACAGCACATGCAAGCCATAGCCACCGCTAACTCTGCGAGGTCGGTCAACGAGATATCACCGCAGACATCGGCCTACGTTCCCATCTTGGACCCTCCTCAAAATTTACCAACATATGTGAACTCTGACCTGCGTTCGGAGTGGTACTCCTCTGCTCTAATTTCAACAGCTCTGGAAAGTGTGACTTTACCTACACGCCTCCGATGCTATCGAGGAATTGGTTCCTGGCTGCCCGCACAAGAACTCCCGCAAAAGATATTTAACATCCAAGCTGCCATTATATCAAAGCAGGATCTAGAAGATGAGGTCAATGTTAGGCCGGACAAGGGCGCCATGGTAGTGGAGGATGAAGCAGATCAAAACGAAGCCCTGCTTCAGGGACTTGACCTTGACTTTTCCTGGTCCAATTCTACTCCAGCTAAAAGGATACATGTTTTTGGTTACGTTGAAATCAGTCGTGGATTCGGTGGCGAAAGTTCCCTCACTTCAAGAGCACGAAGCCTGCAAAGTCGTACACAGTCGCCAGGACCTCTAGGCTCTGTGCAAAGGTCAGTACTTGTGTTTCCTATCAAATTCCCAACCGTCTCTGGCATCTGTCAATAATAATATGTCTCACCTATTCCCTATTGTTATTTCATCATCACCCTCCCTTTTCCTTCAAATAATCCACGCAAAAATATGTAGCCTACTTGCCAAGTTCCGCCAAGCTAAATCCTAAATAACAGATATCATACCCCGCTCTCACTTCCTCTACTTGATAGTTTTCCCCATGACCTATTTAGAGGTAGAGGTGCCTCAGACTCTGGACTGAGCGTTCGTGCATCCCTTTCTACCACAACTCAAATTGGCGATAAGGTGAAGAACTTACAAAAAATCGCGTCAAGGCTAGTGGGAGTTGATGAGCGTGAGGCATTAGTCAATGGACTGGGAGAAATTTCTAAGGCATATCAGGACAAGTGGGAAAGCGAGTCTGACTCTGGGGATGATTACTGAACGCTCTTTTCCCATCTTTTGATGGACAATACATTTCAACGTCGTTGCACGCAATTGGGTGGAATGCGCATGGTGAAATAGATACCTGATAACCAGTGCCAGCTCTACCTTCCTCTTCCTTCACTCAACTCTAGTTCTGTCCCGGTTACCACAATCTCCAAAGAGCCGAGTAAAATGAAACGAAGAATGCATAGTCCACATGAGCCAGCCATTACATCGGTGTGAGCTGCTCAATAGCAGTAGCGCTAAACCCAACGAACATCTGCATCCAGGACCAAGACTCCACATGCGGCCAACAATGCATCCCTTCGATACTCACGTAGCCGATAGCTTAGCGAAATGGTCTTCTTGCGACATGAAGGATTATCTTAGGTACGTTCTTGCTAGCACTCGTAATACTAGACCATTTTGGCACCCTCCCTTCGTTCAACTCCCAGTTCCCTTTCGCCACGACCTGTGGAACGTGGATTCATCACGAGAGGAGATTATTTCCATACAAAGAAAAAAGTAGACTAGCAATCGAGGCCCAGTGATGAGCTAATATTAAAGACTTCCTGCGTAGGTAGATTTCAAGTTGTAGCCAAAGAGGAACCAAGTTTGGAGAAACCACACATAACCTCGGTATTAAATGAGTTGGATGACGATGTATGTAGGTTATTCTCAATTCTGCTTTTCTTAATATCTTGCAGACAAATTGTCCAGAATGTGTGACACCATCGACTCACCGGTACAGCAGCTTGACAAATTTTTGAAACATTTTCATCCTCTTATGTTGGTAATGGCTTTTGGGCCAAGGGTATTTTTATCTGGTAAAGTGGACCTGCCAAGATAATTAAACGGCGATTAATAAATAAGGTTAGCAACCAAACTATTACGGGTTAGCGTGTGGCTCCACTCCCACGCCCAGCCCCGAAGCTTATGCAGACGTCAGGCGAAGGACGGGAGCAACATCTTCAAGAACTTGCATGTTTTTGCTCCAATGGTCTTGTCCATGCTGAGCAATTAGCATAACATAAGTTATCACCCTACGTAGAACACTAACCACATTTGTATTTAAAAAGCATCAAATTAAGCAATAATTACATGAAATTAAATATAGAAAATAATATATATATATATTATTTTTAATTAAAACTATCCCCTCACGCAATACAACAAATCCTCGCTACAGCCCGACGATATTACACAGGTTTGTTCCCTGACCGGAGTTTAACTATTGGCACAATCCTCCAGCATTATGGACTAGCACTTAATGCGGTGCTCGTTCACCCTTATCCTTTTACGTCTCCGCCCGCCGCCATTAGGGGGATAAGCCCCAATTCCACCGGCGTTTTGCGGACTTTGTTCTGCCTCTCGTGAGGCGCAGCCTCCGTGCGGCGTTCGAGCAACTGGCCCAAGAACTCCAGGGTCTGATGGCTTTCGGCTGTCACCTTGGATGGTGGAGAGTCTGCTGCCCTTATCGACCAATCTCGACCAGGCACAGCATACATGGTGGTTGGTGGCAATTACACTTCTAGCGACAATCGAGCCCCCGGGGGGTCCTTGAGGGTGTCGTGGAAGTGGTCCTCCTCCATGGCCGGCTCCCAAAACTTGGCGGATCGATGACAATATAAGCAAGCAGGTTTTTGGCACAAGTGAATTCATCTAAATGGATCAGCACGGCGCGCGATATGGATTTGTGCTCACAAATGCTGAGTTTGTCGCTCTCAAGCGACTCGATGAAAATGACTGTCTAGCCGTTGCCGATGAAATTCCGTGGACAGGTGGTGGCGTTCGTCAGCCTTCTGTGCTGTTGGAGTTGTGATATCTTGGCATATTGTCAGCAGAGGACGGCTACTGAGTGTTAACTGGTGAGAACCATTTGGTCCTGCTGCATACCAAGTTTGGCCACGATAAGAAAACTGCCTTCTTGGATCTATCATTTTAAGTGTATCCCAGCGCCAAATTCATATCTGACATTTGTGTTTCTGTCGAGCGCATCCAGCTGTGTATACCTAACACAGGTTTGAGGTCACCAGAGAGCGGGCCTCTAATTACTGTATTTTTCACTTCATCAGAAGACATTTGATCTAGCACTCCTGGCAAGTAAAACATACATCATGAAGTAAAATTTATGTAACTGTTATTGTGTGATAATATACATGAGCAGTTAATCATTCTAACTACAACTAACTAACTAGTTATAGTTAGCTGATAATATCATTATATCAGCTTAAGAGTGAAACATTAACATAACTAGTTACAGGTTAACAGCTGTTCACTTAATCTAATTTTTTTGATTTTGTATCGCCGAAGCAGCTAAAGCAGGGTTGTTTTTATACTCATAATTAATGTATATAGTTCTTATTTTAATTGGTGTCTATTAAACTACCCTACATCACGTGAGTAAGAGTTCCTGGGTCATGGTGTGTTCGAGTTCTATATACGGTTATTAATGAAATATAAGAGTTATGTATAAGATATGACTAGTGTATTAAGATTTTCATGAAGAAATGTCATCACAATTTACGGCATAAATCACACGGAAGGTTATTCCAGCTGAGATTCAATACCATCTCAACTGTACGCCCGATTTACCAAGGAACCGGCCCAGGCACTGATGAGCCGGGCTGGCTAGTCTAAACGATAAGGGTAGCCCAACGTTAGGTTAGGTCCTCTGACTAGAGTTGAAGCAGATGCCAGAGTTCGCGTTTGCAAACCCAGCGACAGAAAAACAATTAAGCTTTTGGTTCCGTTTGGCACCAGGTTGGTTAACTACCCTATTGAACTGCGCCGAAAGGCGAACAACAGGTAACTAGAAACGGAGCAATGGATACTTGCTTAAGTCACTTCATGCCTTCAAATTGTTCATCTCAGCATCCCGGGGCGTAAGTACAGTTAGTTGAATGTGGATTTAAAAAATTTGAATCATGATTTTAAAAATTTTAGCTGAAAAAATCTTCAGCATGATTTAGTTAAACATGGTATCATGTCATTTTTCTCATTAAAACGACATACACTAGTCATATCTCACACATTGTCTCACACAACATCTTGAAATGCTTTTTGATCCTAGTGATATTTATCATATTTCTCAGGTTCTTAAGATGTTACCTAACAACTCTAATTCCAACCCCCCCCCCCCCCCCCTTCCCTTTGGTGTTGAGGGCCGTGAGGTTGAACTGGAGATGCATTAGTAATACGTCCGGTGTAGCTAAATATGTGCCGAGTTATGTTTTAGAAAGTGGGCCCCCACCCATAAGCCATGCCTCAACCTTTTTTTTTAAACTACGTTCAACTGTCGGCACCAACAACCTCAAGGTTTTACAAAAAAACTCCACCAATCAGTTAACCAGCCCAGCGTCAGAAAGGACAGTAAATGCTCACGGGTCATCTGGCCAAGGCATGAGCTGACTCCGGAACTTACCTAATTGAAGCTGCGAAGTTTCGCTTCCCTCGCTTCTTCACAGGTTAGAGGCCAGCATTGTGTGGCTAGCCCAGAACTTCGCGTCAATTAACTCTCAAAATGTCTCTGGACACTGGCAGGAATCGGCGCAAATGGGGATTTCATTTTCATGGTGTGTCCTACTATCCAGCTGCGTAGCAGCTGACAGACCAACGTCTCTATCAGGCTATTTTCAGGCGTTCGTTCCTGGTTGCAGGGTGGGCGTAGCCAGTTTGCTGCCCTGCACCCTGGAAAATGCAACAGCTCTGGATGTCGCTGTCAATTTAGCCTGATCTTGGTGGTGGGACGTTCACTTCTTCATCTAGTTATCAAAGGTAAACTGTTTAACTTGGAATCTTTCAGGTACCACCTCGGGTGGTCACGGCGCTATTAGCGATCTCGCGGCCATTCCTGAGAGCCAGCCATTTCTCCTAGTTACCAGTATCGACTTATCCAAACTCTACTTTGAGGTTCCTTTTACCCTGTTGTCTCAAAGTTTTTCCCATGGCTTTTCTTGCCGCTTTCCGCCTTCCTATCAGGGTGCTGGTGACATCACGACTCGACCAAAATCGACGGAGGAGCGGATTGGTCATGGGTCCTTCCCGCTCTCGGTGCCCGGGGATACGTACTGAAGACATGTCCGGCATCCTCCAGGTTCACCTATGGTTTGAAGGTCCACAATGGGCTTAGATTATGCTATGCTATCGCTGGAGTAGGTTTGCAAAAAACAACTGCCCCTAGCCTATATGCGGCAACAAGGGGGATGATGATAACATCACTATCTTCGGATCGGCCGCTTGAACTATGATATCGCGTTCCATAGAGAGTTAAGGGACTCCAGATTGCCCATACTGCTGGAAATTACGAACACGGGCGAGATTCTTATGCTTCCCCCAATGCCATTGAGCAGTCTTAGGCGGTGCCGGTTCGAAAGTATTTAAGGCTGCCCTCCCTTCCGCCTTGATTTGTTCTTCATTCTTCGTTCTTCAGTACGTCGTCCTTTCTCTAATATCTTCCTTCACTCTGCGAATTGTGCGGAACTCCCTCGCTACGGTTCCTTGCGCTGCTGACTTTCGTTTACCGATTTTCCCTGCTTAGAGTAAAAAAAGGAGATTGGCCGCCAAAATGGCGTTCTCCATGATGAAGTCATTGGTTGCCCTCCTGCTCCTCACCAGCTCGGCTATGGGACGTCCCATTTTGTTCCTCTGTTTCTTCAGGTGTTCCGTGACAAAACCCTATACGCCAACCGCCTTGCCAACGTCAACCGCCGATCCATACATCTACACCACCACTCAACCCCCACCAACATCTTCATCCATGCCGACTTCAATCTGGACACCAACCCCAACGCACCCAATGCCAACCTCTACATCAGAACCGCACCCAATGCCAACCTCTACATCAGAACCACACCCAATGCCAACCTCTACATCAGAACCGCACCCAATGCCAACTGAATCGGAAACGCACCCAATGCCAACTGAATCGGAAACACACCCAATGCCAACCTCTACATCAGAACCGCACCCAATGCCAACTGAATCAGAAACGCACCACCTGATGACAACTTCATCAGAACAACCCCCGATGACGACTGCATCAGAAAAACAGCCCGATGACGCCATCTACTTCAGAAGAGCACCCCAATGCCGCCTACTGCAGAAGCACACCATCTGCTGCCTACTGCTCAAGAACACGAGCCGATGGCGTCTTCTTCATCAACAGC